CCTCCCATACCAGAGAGAAAGATACATTTTCTGCCCTAAAGCATGAGGTTTAATAATCCTTCAACAATATTTTGGTATAATCATCAACTATTCTAATTGCTCTGGATCATCTTGTCATCTTTATAAATGCCTGTTCCATTTTTTAATCAGGCTGTAACAAAAAAAGCAAAAAAAACCCACCTCTGGTGATGAATCACAGGGTTCAGAGTTGTGCTGTGTGTGATGTTTAGCCCCAAAAGTTCACAAATAAATACAACAGAGGGAAAAAAAATCCATTTTAGGCAGAGGATTAGGCCAAAGTTTCAGTTTTCTGAAAGGCATCTGAGAGGATTTGCAGAACAGTGGGATCAAGGTGAGGCTGGCACAGGAATATTGTTAAAAATGGCATTTTCTGCCCATCCCCATCCCCAGACTCCTGATAGGATTTGTAAATCCTCATCCTAAAGGGGGGATTGATGTCACCCAGCTCCTGCCATCAAAATCTTCCCTGTCTGGAGGAGACTAATCTTTGGGATTTGAGGGATGGGAAGCACAGGGGGAGATTCCTGGGAGGAGATCCCTGGAGGCAGATCAGAGGTGCTGTCACTGACCAGATGTGACAGGACAGGGAGCTCCATTCCCTGCCTCAGACAGCCCAAAACATTTTGTCTGATGTGTCTTTACTCACTGTGCCTCTGTGACTCCTTTGGTGCTCCAGCTTTGTGTTCCTGCTCTGTGAGGACACTGTGGAGCTGCATTGATGGAACACCCCCTGGGGAGTGGTGAGAGGGGTTCCTTTGGTTTGGGAGGGGAAAGAATTCGGAGTTAAAAAGAGGAGAGAAGTGGTAAATCAGACCTGCAGAAGCCCCTCTGCCCCTTCAGTTGAGACCCCACCTGCAGAGCTGCCTCCAGCTCTGGGAACAGCACAGGGAGGACCTGGAGCTGCTGGAGAGAGTCCAGAGGAGGCCACAGAGATGCTCCAAGGGTGGAGCCCCTCTGCTCTGGAGCCAGGCTGGGAGAGCTGGGGGGGTTCCCCTGGAGAAGAGAAGGCTCCAGGGAGAGCTGAGAGCCCCTTGCAGGGCCTAAAGGGGCTCCAGGAGAGCTGGAGAGGGACTGGGGACAAGGGATGGAGGGACAGGACACAGGGAATGGCTTCCCACTGCCAGAGGGCAGGGAGAGATGGGAGATTGGGAAGGAATTTCTGACTGAGAGGGTGGGGAGGTCCTGGAATAGAATTCCCAGAGAAGCTGTGGCTGCCCCTGGATCCCTGGAAGTGTCCAAGGCCAGGTTGGAGCAACCCGGAATAGTGGAAGGTGTCCCTGCCCGTGGCAGGGGTGGCACTGGATGAGCTTTAAGATCCCTTCCCACCCAAACCCTCCTGGGATTCTCTGACCCTGCTTCTCCCTTCTCCCTCTCCCCTTTCCTGGCTGGAACAGCCCCTCAGAACTGGGACAGAAGCCACAGGTCTCCAGCTGGGGTTTGGCCCTGGAGCAGAGAGGTTTTGACCCCCTCCTTCCCCACCTGGGCTGTAAGGAGGAGAGATCAGTGCTGGTTGTTTGAGAGAGGAGGTTTTGTCCCCTCAGGGATGGGCTGGTGCTGGAGCTGAGCACAGAAAGAAGTCCAAGCGATCACCAGAAATCTTCCAAACTCTCCCTTCCTGGGCTGGAACTTGGCAACATTCCCAGGACAATAAGTCAGGCAAAGCATTGCAGCAGAGCTGGTTCTATCCTCAGTTGTGCCATAAAGCTGGAAATCAGAGGCTCGGAGTTATTGGTGCTTTGTGATATGATGCAGATTATAGAGATTCAGGCAGAGAAATAGCAAACTAATGGCTCATTGTTGCTGGGAATATTGGGAATATTCTCTTCAGAAGAGGCACTTGACCCTTTGGATGCCCCACTGAGCTCGATTTGCTGAAAACCTTAACGACCTTCCTGAATTTCTTAACATTCTTTGGGTTAAATCAGGTTTTTCAGGGTGGTGAGTCCCTGGATTTCTGTTTGTGGGGTTGGTGGGAATGAAGTGAAATGTGTGATGTCAAGAGAAATTCCTGTGTGCAAACCCTCATTTTCATGGACTTGCTGCTCTGAGGGATGAAAGGGATGTGTCCCAGCATTTTAATCCCATCTCTCTCCCCAGTGGATGGCAAAGGGCCCCTTTCATCCCGAGGATTACGAGCCCACCCTGGTGAACTGCCCCACCAGCCCGGGTTGATGTCGGCCTTTCATCTTTCCCTGGAAGTTTTGAAGGTTTATCTGCAGCTCCCTTGTTCCCTGACTCATGTCTGGATGTTTGAGAGCAAAAACCAGCTTCTTGCCAGAGTTATCCCGAAAAAAATCCTTAAATCCAGCCAGGAGAGAGAAATAGGAGCCCCCTGAGTGCTCCCCTGGGTTGGTGGTGACCCTGCAGGGCTGGAGCTCAGTTCTGGTTGCACAGGGGATAATACCTGGATATCCAGGATCCCTGAATCCCTCTTTTTCCACCTCCACCCAAGCAAACCCACCTGAGCATAAAACACCGCCCAGTTTCCCAGCTGGAATCCCAGATCAGGGATCCACCAGGTGAGGATGTGACCAAAGAGGCACAGGCACAGTTGGCAGAGCTGACTTGTTTTCTTGTCCCTATTTTTAGCCAAATTTCTTTGCTTTTGAGTTACATGAACCCAGGAATTCTTGCTGGGAAGGATCTGCAGAGTCCCAAGCCAGGAGGAGCTGGAGGAGAGAGCTTTGCTTGTGAACTTCTGCTCTCCTGGTCCCCTCAAAGTGTTTCCTGCTGGTGACCAGTGATGGGACCCAAGGGATGACATGGAGCTGTGCCAGGGCAGGCTCAGGTTGGATCTCAGGGAAAGGTTCTTCCCCCAGAGGGTGGTTGGCACTGCCCAGGCTCCCCAGGGCAGTGGGCACGGCCCCAAGGCTGCCAGAGCTCCAGGAGGGTTTGGATGATCCTCTGGGGCACAGGGGGGGATTGTTGGGGTGTCCTACCCAGGGGTTGGACTGGATGATCCTTGTGGGTCCTTCCAGCTCAGGATATTCTGGGACTCCCCAGCCTGTTCTCTCTGTGCCACGACAGGTATAAATGAAACACTTCCCATTTGTGTTCTCTGAATGCAGGGAAAGCAAATTCCCCCTGGGTGAACTCCAGATAAAGAAAACTCAGATTTTAGAGTTGACTCTTGTATTTGCCTCTAGTGATTAGTGTGTATTCCTTTAATATTGAAATCAGATTGCTATATAAAGCAGAACACACGGGAATATCTCTCTGTAATAATGAGGAGAGTGATCTGATTTCTGAATGTAACAGTTTTATTTCCTTCCCTTTTTTTTATTACCACGTTTCCTGCTGTTCTTTGCCTGGAATGTCAATCCTTCACCTTCATGCCTGGCTTTATTTAGGATTGCTGCTTTTCCTGTGCTAGGAATATATATATATATATATATATATATTTATACATTGGCTCATCACTTATGCAGTTTGGAGTGTGCCTTGGAGCAAAGCCTGAATCCAGCAAGGGTGGATCCCTCACTGGAGATGACACAGGATGTCGCAGCTCAGAGTGGGATTTTATACTTCTATTATTTATATTTCTAGTATTTATATTTCTATTATTTATATTTCTAGTATTTCTATTTCTAGTATTTATATTTCTAGTACTTATATCTCTAGTATTTATATCTCTAGTATTTATATTTCTAGTATTTATATCCCTATCCTGCAATGAATTGCCCCTGCCCTGCCCCTCCACGTTGAGCGTTGCTGTGGCTCCTCTTTTATCAAATATTTCATGGAAAGGTAAAAAAAAAAGAGAAGGAAATTTAATCCCTTTCTCCTCTCTGAGAGTAGCAGCATCTTTCCATCAGCCTGTGCTGGTTTGCTGCATGGAATTTACATGGAAATTACGGAAATTCCCTTGGAGCTGCAGGTTCCACGAGGTGCAGGGAAAAATCCTCAGTGTTGGATTGTTCAGCTTTTCCACGGGCAAAGAGATGTTGTTCCAACTGAGATGATTCCCAGTCCAACTCCTCAAGCTCTCCAGGTTGTTCCCAGTTGGCAGCCAAGTCCCAAGGAGTTCATGGAGAGAGTGGATTCTCGGGGCTGGTTTTCAGTGAGCAGGATCTGACTCAAAGAGAACAACAAACTTTTCATGCCAAAAAAGATGTTTTTTACTGATTCCTTTCTTCCAGGGCTTAAAATCCCCTGTGCTGGCACCCATCTCATGCATTCCATGTTGCTTCCCAAGTGTGGCTGCAGTGATTCCACACATCCATTCCAATCTGGTTGCCCAGAGAAGCTGTGGCTGCCCCTGGATCCCTGGAAGTGTCCAAGACCAGGTTGGAGCAACCTGGGCTGGTGGAAGGTGTCCCTGCCCATGGCAGGGGTGGAATGGGATGATCTTTAGGAGCCCTTCCAACCCAAACCATTCTGGGATTCCATGATTTCTTCAGATCCTTTACATCTTCTCTATTAAATCCAGACAGACTTGTCACATGATTTCAAGTCTCAGAATTACTGGTGAAGGAATTCCTGGCTGGACAATCCTCAGAGCCACAGCTTTCCAGCCCTGGGACGGGGGAATATCCATTATATGGGTATTCCCATTAATGGGAATCCATCAAGGGCTGGAGCCAGGCTGGGAGAGCTGGGGGGTTCCCCTGGAGAAGAGAAGGCTCCAGGGAGAGCTGAGAGCCCCTTGCAGGGCCTAAAGGGGCTCCAGGAGAGCTGGAGAGGGACTGGGGACAAGGGATGGAGGGACAGGACACAGGGAATGGCTTCCCACTGCCAGAGGGCAGGGATAGATGGGATATTGGGAAGGAATTGCTGGCTGGGAGGGTGGGGAGGCCCTGGCCCAGGTTGCCCAGAGAAGCTGTGGCTGCCCCTGGATCCCTGGAAGTGTCCAAGGCCAGGCTGGAGCAACCTGGTCTAACGGAAGGTGTCCCTGCCCATGGCAGGGGAGTAGAACGAGACAATCCATAACATCCCATCCCAACCTGTGTGTGATTCCCATCCTTCCTCTTGCTTTGCAGCCCCGCCTTCCATCAAGCTCCTGGTGGACGACCCCATCGTGGTGAACCCGGGCGAGGCCATCACCCTGGTGTGCGTGACCACGGGGGGGGAGCCGGGGCCCAGCCTCACCTGGGTCAGGAGTTCGGGGGCGCTGCCCGACAAGACGGTGCTCAACGGGGGCACCCTGACCATCCCCGCCATCGGCGCCGACGACGCCGGCACCTACAGCTGCATCGCCAACAACAACGTCGGCAACCCCGCCAAGAAGTCCACCAACATCATCGTCAGAGGTGAGTGGGGCTGGAAAACCACCCACCTTCCTCTTGGAGGATTGTTGGAATCCTCGTCTGGCTCGGTGGTTGTCACCCAGTGGTGTCTTGTGGTCGTGGTTGGATTGATGATCCCGAAGGTCTCTTCCAACCTGGAGGGTTCTGTGGTTTCTGCTCATTTCTGGGATGAGTTAGTGTTGCTTCAAGGTGCTGGAGGTGGAACAAGGGTGGTTTGGTGTCTCTTTATGTTGGGAAAATGGAGCAGCTTTTCTATGGAAATTG